AGGATATGCCCAACTCGAGAAAGGAAAGGGAAGCTACGTAATGGGCAATGCAGAGATAGGAGGCAATCTTACCAGAACAGTAATAGAGAGACAGGTTGCAGAGAGAGAGAGAACTCAGGTGAAGTGAAGACTGAATGAGCCAGAAACTGAGAAGGAGCCAGGAGATTAGAGCAGATTGCTTGAGTTAGTTTGAGGCCAAGCAGAGCAACTCAGAGGTGGAGAGAAAAGCCAGACTGAATAAATTAGGTGGGAGAGGAGTTTGAGCCAGAACAACGGAATTGAACCAGCCAGCTCTAAGCTCAGTAAAAACAAGTAAGGAGATTAAGCAGTAAGTCTCAGAGGCTGAAAACATTCTTGGCCTAGATTAGATTGTATGGAGGCTAGACGCTTCCAGGACTAGGCCCAGATTAGCAGACAAAGGAGGCAGTAAATCTCCCAGACAACAACTGAACCAGGCAAATAAAAGCTCCTTTTACATTAAGGATCAGATGGGGTCTTCCTGTTGGAGATTAAGTTCTCTTGTTCCTCTGTCCCACACAGGTAGCTTTCGTTTCCCATTTGGTTTGCTCCCTTGGCCTTCGGAGACCATCTGTTGCCTCCTCATTCACTTTAGTTAGCTGTTGGGTCTGCCTTTCTGAAGCATGGTCATGGGACTCTCTGTTCTGAGTTTCACTCCTGTGCTTTTCAGCTCACATAGTGAAATGCATCTTGCACAGATGTTTGAAACCTCTGTGGTTCCAAACCTCCTGTGGGGCCTCTTGCCCGCTCTCCTTCCTTAAGCTTCTGAGAAGCAGTGAGTTCTGGGCCTACCAGCTTCACTTACCGTCGCTTTATTTTCATCCATCGTTCACACTGTTTGAAGGAGTCCTTCACTCATCCCTGTCTGTTCCTGCCGAAATGTACCAATCTTCCTCCTCCTCCGTCCTCCTCCTCTCCCTTCTCCTTCTCTCCCTCCTTCTCCTCCCCCTTCTCCTTCTCTTCTTCTGATCCTCTCTCTCAGCCCACAGAATTGCATACAGATTCCAAGCTAGAGTTCATATTTCCATGGCGTGAATATCACGACACATTTTCTGCTGTGGAGCTTAAGAAGATTATCCGCCTGCCTTGTCCTGTTGTCTGAAGTTAAGTTCTTACGGTGCAACTGAAAGAACCTTTCCTTGTTGCGTCTGACTTCGCTCCATATGACTACACATCTGTGTTACTACTGAGCGGGTCAGTTAATGGCAGACAGAAAACTCTGATGTGTCATCTCAGCTGGTGAATTTTAACTAATCGCAGTTGCGTTAATTAATTACATTAGCTACATTTCAGCAAAGCCTACTTGTTAGGTAAAAGTGATGGGACTTTGTGCTTTTCGTCTCTGGGAAGTTACCCCAGCACAACTTACTGGATTGTTGCAGTAGGTGTGGAAAGCGTTGGTAGGAAGAGCGAGGATTCATTTCTTATCAAAACAGCAGTTTTCAGCCAGTGGTGACAACAGATAACGTAAAAGAGCCAAGTAAAGTCCTGTAGAGTGTATCAGGGGAAGCAAGACAGGATGTTTGAACTGAGACCAACGTGTCCCAGTGGAAGTAAAGTGAACAGTGAGCTAAAACCATGCATGGCCCAACATTTAGAGGAAGCAGTCAGAGCCTCATGTGTTCATTTTGTTGTGAAAGGAACTTGTCCTGTAGATTACCGCATAAAGCGCTTTCCTGTCTGCTGTGGTGGGCTTTACTGTTTTAAGCATTCAGTGAAACTTGCCTTTGTTATTTTGCAGAGCGACAGAGCCCGCTTTCTCAAGTCTCCTTGTGTTACAAACATGTGCCAAGTAGCTTCCTGGTGTGGTCTAGTCTGACAGAGTTTGTCCCTGTCTCCGATGGCTTGAACGAGAAATAAGAAGAGTGAGTGGAGAATGTACTAGACAAGAGCGTGGTATCCAGGCTGTGGGAGGGTCAGTCACAGGGCTGGGAGGGACAACTGTGTGCCTTGGCTGCCTGGGTCAGCCACTCTGGAGACCCCTTGCCAATTCACCGAACTCCTCAACGAGGTCTTCCAGACACTCCTCCTCCGTGAGTGCTGGTCGGTGTGGGAGTGCTCGAATCAGCTTCTCAGGAAGAAGGAGATGTCGGGAGGCCTTTCGTGCTACAGACGCTGTTATTAGGTTAGAAAATGACTCTTTCTGTCAGTGTTGGTGGATAAAAAGCAAATAGGCTGTTTTTGTCACAGCATCTCGTAAAAAGAACCATTCTGGTTCTGCTGGTAAAGGGAACCATTCTGGGCCCTGCCTTGGGTGTATTTCTTACCTGGAGCTTTAAGGGTTAATCTTCAACACGTGGTCTGAACCAGACTCAGACGCCACAGGCTTCTTACCTTCGGACTTGCGTACTGTACACAGTTTCTGTACAAAGTAAGTAGGATTCGGGGCAGGTTATACTTCATGAACAACCTTTTTTTTTTTTTTTTTTTTTAAAAAGAAGAAAGTATTATTCACCTGAGTTTAGAATGCAGATGCTACTATATAGCTCTCTCTGTCCTCGTTAGTCAGCATATATCCAGCCATAATATTCATTAGGGATAATTGTTTGTGTCTGAAGTGTGTAGTAATTTTTGACCCAGGGTGCCCAGTCCCCTGGGAGGTCACAGCAGATGTCTACATGAACACTAACAGTGTTCTTGATCTTGATCAAGAACAAGCTCCTTGATCTTGGCATTGCATAACAGAACAAAAGCCTGCTCTTACCACCACAGACGAGGATAGATTCCATTCCTTGTAAGATACACACACGCAGAAACCTGGTAACTTTTCATTTTGAACTCTGGCCTATGGGGTGTGTGTGTGTGTGTGTGTGTGTGTGTGTGTGTGTGTGTGTGTGTGTGTGTTCTGAGATCTGCTCCCTGCTTCTGAGAGTGTACTTGCATGCAGTGTAGATTAGATACAGATAGAATTAACTCTGAGGCCAGGACAACTGCACGTATGTACACTAGACCAGAAGCCCAGGTTAGGGGAGTTGAGGGACAGACGAAGTAGATAGGGACGGTGCTTTAGAGTCACATTCCGAAGACTGTATTGACCAAGACGATAGAAGAAGGAAATAGAGAAGTGGGGACATGTTCCTTGGGCCCAGGTCTGTTTTGCATAAGCTGTGAGGATGCCTGCAGGATGAGGGAAGAAGGAATGCCTTAGGTGGGAGCATCTCCCTCTTCTCTCTGATTTTCGGTGGAGGGATGGAGGGAAGGGTCAGAAACCTTGATTGTATCCCATGATCCTCTGTTCTTCTTTACTTTTCCATTTTTCTTTCTTTTTTTTTTTTTAAGATTTTATTTATTTTATGTATGAGTGCTCTATCTGCATGTATGCCAGTATAGATGGTTGAGGGCCACCATATGCTTGCTGGGACTTGAATTCAGGACCTCTGGAAGAGTAGCCAGTATTCTTAACCTCTGAACCATCTCTCAAGCCCATAGCTTTCCACTTTTCAAGTGGTAAGACATTGCAGAGAATAACCAAGGGGGAAGATTGGGGTAGGGTTGTGTTAAAAGGACCTCTGCATAACCCAGGACTCTATACTCCAGCCTTTAATTTGTGCCAGAAGCTTGGCAGAATCCATCACTGGCACAAAAAAAAAAAAAAAGGAGAAGGTGGCCAGTAGAGTTTCTGTTCGGAAAATTTAGATTTTACCATCTGCCTACAATTAATTATGTGAAATGAAAGGGCGTGAGTGGAATCCTGTGTGCCAAGGATAAAATGATGTTGTACAGAGCACCAAAACACAGTCTTGATGGATATTAACCACAGTCCATCTATGCCACCATCAAGAGCTGCAGATAAATTTTTTTACATCTGTAAAATATAACACACATCCTAGACTGATTTTTGATGTAAGAGATGGAGAGGAATCTGGAAGAAATACTTTTTTGGCAGAAAGATATAACTTAACAAAGCTAGGCACAGTGGTTCCCTGGAATGGCAGCACTTAGGAAACTGAGGCAGGGGGATTTCCAGAAGTTTCTGTTGTTGACTACAGGATAAGATTCTGCATTACCCCTCTCTCCTTACAAAAGGAGCAACTAGTCCACCCACAGCATTCATGGTGGACAGGCCTCGTGGTCTGTTAGCGAGTGGGTGGAGGACAGGCTTTGAAATAATTAAACCCGAGAAATAGTTTTTATTTATATTTATTTACCTTTACCCAACCCTCAAGATAAAGTTTCACTGTAGAACCCAGGCAGCTCTCAAGATGGAGGTCCTCCTGTCTCGGCCCCCCTGGAACTGGCAGTATGGATATGGGTGACAGCAGCTAGCTTGATGAACACTGTGAACGCTGTCTGGTGAAGAAGTGAGGTTGTCACAGAAGTCTGTGGCTTGAAGGGAAAAACTGGCTGTTGTGTTTCAGGGTCAGAGAGTCATTGGTGAAGCTTCTGCTTTGGGGCTGGCTTCTTCCCTTATCCTTCAAGGAAGCATTTGCTTTCTCATGCTGTGGGTTTTCTGTTTTGTTTTGGGTTTTGTTGTTGTTGTTGTCTTTCCTTCCTGAGAGATAATGCCAAGTGAAAAGCTAGATTCTGCGATAGTATAGTCAGCGGCAGTGCACTCTTGAAAGGTAAATTGGAGAAGACTCCTGGGTCTTATCAGAGCACTCTGGTTGATGATTTCTGTGCCCCTGAGATGATCCCTCCTCACGTTATCTCTAAAGCAGTGCCCAGCAGTCACATTTCACTGGAAAGGTACGCTTGGGTTTCGACAATGCACTTTACCCTCAGTGAGGATATTTGCTGTGTCACATTGAAGAGTTCTTTCTCACTCAAGACTCCAGGCAGAGTGCAATTGTGAATCAGCAACATGCCTGGAGCTCTGAGAAGGGCAGGGGTCCTACCCTTGCAGTTGTGTAAGACTGAGCCAATAAAAGCCACGGTGCCTGGTACAAACTTTCTCATGCAGAGCGCTGTGGGCAGGCATCTGCCGAGAGTGTCATGGACGCTCTGTGGAGATGCCCTGTGTGACCGTCATCCCTCTCTTCCAGGTTCTGCTCCTTGGTGGCAAAACAGCAGAAGAAGACAGCTAAGGCACCACCAGTGCCAAAAGACTGGCGGGCTGTGTCCCAAGAACAGCTGAAGGCATCCAAAGCCAGTCCAGAGAAGGAGGTCTAATGGTGCAACCTAGCTAGAGGACTTTGACACGAGGCAAAGGTGAGTGTGAAGAATGCACACTTCGGGCAAATGCAGCGCAGACGAGGAGTGCTGAGAAACTTCAAATGGTGACAGCACATCACCAGGTCACAGGGAGCTGTTTCTTTATGCCATCATGCACATCTGATCTTAAAATAATATATCACCATCCTAGTTATTTTTAGTCATCTTAGTAAAAAGTTCTGTTTGACTTTTTCTAAAGGAAAGGACATAAACGTTTAAGAACATTGGTTAGCTTTCATATTTTTATCTACAATCTATTATGTGGAAGTAAGATACTACTGTTCACCTCTTGAGTGACAGCTTGCAGACCTCAGTGTAAACATAGCTGTCGTATTATCTCCGGTTTCTTTATATGGCTGCATTCGGACAGCACTGTATGAGCATGGGTACTATATATATATATATATATATATATATATATATATATATATATATATATATATACACATATATGTACATATGTATGTATGTATGTATGTATGTACCATTTTTGTGGTAGGCATTTGGTTCTTGTGGTTTTGCCCATAAGACTGAAATGACGAGTACAGAGGCAGCCCTGTTTTGTGGTCTGCTTGTCATCTCTGGCATTTGCACGTACTACATTCTTAGTGCCAATTTACAGGTCCCATTTGATGCATGAGGCCACGTGAGTCTGGCCTTCAGGATTTGGGCACAGCCCTCCTTGTTATCTGTAGCACTCCACCTCCTTACCTGGAAGGCTGTGGCGCACGCCCTTGGGGAAGTTTTGTAAGCTGCATATCCCCTGGTCACTCTTGCTGTCCTGGCTGCACGCAGGGTGGTGATAGTGGTGATGCCAATATAGACGTATAATCTGGGCAACGTCCTTCATGAATTCTAATGCCACCCTTTCCCTTTTACATGGAGAGGTCTCTCTTGGGAGCTTAGGAATCAAGGCTCACTGATAATTTAGTGTAATCATATAAAGTGAGACGTTTTCTGCTTGTAAATACATTAGTTCAAAAGACAGTTTGCAAACTAATAGGACACAGATCAACCTTTAGACCATTTTTTCATATTTAAAAAATCAGTTGACTACTTACAAACACTTCACAGAGAAAGTCAGAAAACCTCCACGAGAAAATGTACAACCTGATCTTGTTGCCGTGCTAATGATTACTATCTGATAGTCTTTAGCAGCCATCAATATTTAATCAACCAGCCCCACAGATCGATTAGTACAACCTGCCGGGCTCCTGCTTGAAAGCTGTGGCATTTAAGAGGTCTGCATTTCCCTTCCTTCTACATGAACTCATTTCTGTGTACTTCAACACAGGGGATTGTCTTCATTCTCTGCCATCATTTTGGCATTTATTATTTCCTATCAAGCGTGAACTTTGAGAACAGTCACTTTAGGGAGTTGCTAAGCTTAACTAGAAAGAAAGCTATTTCCAATGTAAGAGGGCCCATTGATCTTGGGAGGGCCGATTAGCATAAGGAAGCCTGGATTGTTTGTTTGTTTGGTTTTTTTGGCCTGAATTGTTTTATCAAGACACTGCTGTTGGTATCCTTTTGTTTGGTTGGCTTTGTTTGTTTGTTTGTTTTTCCAAAACAGGGTTTCTCTGTATAGCTCTGACTGTGTTGGAACTCACAATTGTCCTGTAGACAAGGCTGGCCTTGAACTCACAGCTCTGCCTGCCTCTGTCTCCCGAGTGCCGGTAGTGAAGGTGTGTGCCACCTCTGCTGGCTCCAAGTTGTTATCTTAAAGTTGGGTATTTTATGACGTAAGCGTTCCATTATTGGATTTAGTTGTCGTGCTACCAGGGGTATAAAAGCGACTCACTGAACCGACTTTTCTTTGAATGACGTCTGTGGGGATTTAGAGTCCATTTTCCAGCTGGCACATCTGGGCCCAGGAGGAATTCAGTGAGCACTCTGTTATGCCCTTTACATAAGCACAATTTTGACATTGAGGAATATTACCATCAGAATTCCATGTGCGCAGTGTGCTATATTTAGTCAAGACTTTCCCCCAACTTGATCAATATCTCACTGTAAATTAAAATTCATTCAGTAATACTGCTGTCAATTTGATATTAGACCCAATTGTGGGCCTTCACCATGGAAGCGTTTTATGACATGAGTCATTTTGGGATAGCACTTCTCTGTCCACATTAGCTAAACTCAAATATGGAAGACTCACATGCTTTCAAAGCAGTGTTTTCTTTAAAAAAAGAAAGAAGGTAAGAAAAAAAAAGGAAAACATTTTATTGGAGCAGCTAATTTACAGATGTTTTCCTATGACTTATTTTGATTATGTCTCTTAAACAGATTTTAAACCTAGGCTATCCATTTTCAAACATAAATAAGGAAAAATGAGTATATTTTTATAAAATGAGGCTTAGGGTTCTGTCTCATGGAGTCTCTTAAGTCAGTATGTCTAGTAGAATCTCAACCATATGCATAGGTGAAATGTGTATGAGTCCTGTGACTATCAGACTTAAATTCATGGAAATAAAGGACTTGGAGATTTGTTCTCACACATTGGCTGAACAGAGACCTAACTATTTGGGGGACAAACTCTTTGTGAGGTGAGATTCAGGACTGGGTAGATAGTTCTGCTGGTAAGATGCTTGTTGCCTAAGCAGAGGGACCTGGGTTCAAATATTCAGCACCCATGTGACAACTGGCAGTTCATGTCTGCTGTCCTACATCTTCTGAGGCAGTGAGGCTGCTGAGCCTGGCCAAGCAGTGAGCTTTGGGTCAGTGATAGAGCCTGTCTCCACAGTATTGCAGGATAGTTGATCCCATTGTGAACCCCAAAATTGTGAACTGTAAAACCCAGTTTCTTTGGTGTGGTTAAGCCCTATCACATACCTTTAGTCCAAGAACTTTCTGTTTATTGTGAACTGGTGATATGGTGTGGTTCACTCAGCCCTAGCACACAGCTTTAATTCAAGGGCTTCTGTACGCAGGATTAATAAAGTTAACCCTAGGTCAAGAGGCGGAGCAAGAAACCAGCTGACAGGGATTAAAGAGTAGGAGAGACTTCGGGCTGAGGGGTATTTAAGACTGTGTGGAGAAGAAAGGGCTATTAGCTCAAGTTCTGTCTTTAGCTTAGGTTTCAGCTCCTCAGCTCCCTGGCTTTTGGGGCTTTGAGGTAGCAAGCCTTTGGCTTTGGATGTTTTGTTTTGTTTTGTTTTGTTTTGTTTTGTTTTGTTTTGTTTTTGGCCTTTTCCTCCTGGCTGTCAGCCGAGCTACTGAGCCTTTTGTTTTTTTTCCATCCAGACCTGAGCTGAGAGGAAGGTTAACTGGTTACTTTCTCTGCCTCTCTGAGCTAGCAGTTTTTCACCCCAGCATCTGGCACCCGAGTCTTTATTGGTAAAATAGAATGGTTGGGATTTTTCTTCTTTTAAACAACACAAAAGGTTCATTTTTAGCAGATTGAAAAAAATAACTCAAAACTCATATTTCATTTGGTTAATGAGTCTCTTGACTTTTATCTAGGCTATTCCCCCCACCTCCACACTCCTTTTTTTCCTACAAGTCCTTCCCTTGCTGAAGAAACTAAACTACTTGGGCAACACAATGTTCCAGGTACCAAGTTTGACTGTTGTTGGTACTTTTTACAGTATAGTCTAAATTAATTACATCTTGGAAGTGAGACCTTGGTTGGATTCAGAGACAGGAAGGAGTTCTGCTTCTGCCATGGTGAGTGTCTCATGCATGCCTCCTGGTTCATAGGTTGGGCTGTCCCACCTCGAGTGACATCATAGCTTCAGGGAGAAGACCCTTGTCCCTTATTGTGGTCAGGGTTTGTGAACCTGAAGATTTTACTCACCAAGATTTATTGCCTGAATATATTGTTCCATCTGCACCAGTAAAGTGGTGAGTCTTCTTCCCACCTGGCATTTCTTCTACACCTGTTATTGGAGTGCATCAACAAAGCCCTTTCCTCCTCTGCAAATGTTTGCTGACCCTGAAGTAGTTCATATGGGAACAGCAGGATGGGGGCTTTGTGTTTTTCCCTGACAATTTCAGATTTGGTGCATCAGTTTCTTCCAAGGTAAGAAGTGAATGATTTAAAACAATTTTCTTGTTTTAATTTTTTTTTTTTTTTTTGCATTTTTAGGGGAGAGTTCTCATGTTTTCAAGAGCATAATTGTAAACTTACGTTTTTTTTTTAATTGTTGCAATTTTTGTTGTTATTGATAACGCTCAAATAAAACTTGCTTTGTTCTCTGGAGCCCTTTGGGTTGGCTCCTATGTGTACTTATGCAAGGGAGAACCTGCTGTGCCAAGGTCAGTGAACTCTACTTCCCTCTCCTGTACTCAGCCCATCACAAGTCCAGAGTATCTCAGAAACACACTGGACGTGTTAGTTTTGTTGGCTTTGTTTTGTGTTGTTGAAGTCACAGGCTGCATCAAGCCTGCATCTTGAGCATGTATATGTACTATTTTTAGGAACCTTGGTTCTGTGATTGCAAAATGGATTTGAGAAACAATAGCTGAACGTTGAGAGTCATCGATATTTCCAGGCCTTTTTGTAGAATCCAGTAGCGGGGGCATACATTAAAATTAAGGATTATGCATTTTCTTAAGTGACCATTATGGAGTTTTAATAAAATTTAATTACATATTTCTTTCCATTGAACAATCTTGTGTTTCAAAATAATATTATGAAGTTATTCGGCTTATCTTTTGGTTATGTAAAATAGCTTCAAATTAATAACTTAGGCTTAAGTGACTAATTATTGCTCTGCTCTTTGTAGACAGAAGTTAACTGTAAGGTTAAATTTTTTTAAAGATGTATTTATTTTATTGTGTACAATGATCTGTCTGCATGTACACCTGCACACCAGAGAAGGGCACCAGATCTCAGTATAGATGGTTGTGAGCCACCATGTGGTTGCTGGGAATTGAGCTCAAGACTTATGAAAGAGCGGCCAATGCTTTTAACCTCCGAGCCACTTCTCCAGCCCCGTAAGGTTAAAATTTTAAAACATCTATTAGCATTATGAGTACTTTCAAATTTTATA